GGATCACTGGGAGGAGATCAGTTTGCAGCTTGGGATTTCAYGATGTGTGTTGTGTTTGTGAAATCATCAGAATGCACAGAGCACTGCCAGCAAYGGGTGTTCCTGTCCTGCACATGAGCTGCTGTGACACGGTGAGCTCTGGGCAGCTCAGAGGGGTCACRGTGCTGGAGMTCAGACCATGCTCTAAAATCAGGGSAGGAAACYTTCCCYTGAATGGGGAACAGCATCCCARAGGAGGGTTCTGGGCACTGCAAAACCCAGGTGACAGCTCCAAGCTCTGGGATCTCGTGGCAGGGCTGTTCTCACACAGGACAGGGGAAGGAGTGTGGGGCTGGCAGAGGTGTTTATTGAGGCTGCTCTGCAGGTATTTCAGCAAAAAATGGGAAATGAAATTGGAGCTGTGTACAAGAGTTTGCTCCTTGCGTGATCCTGAGCATTTGGCTATAAAATCCTGACATGAAAACACAGTTGAAACAAGGTTTAGCAGGGCCCACCTGCATTAGCCACCTGGMCCCATCCATACATAATTACTGGTTTATGGATGTTTGGGAAAATCTAGGAATATTTCTTCAAGACTCCCTTTCCCATCATTTTTCACTCCAGGACCACTGTTTGTAACARCCTGTTTCTGACAGCTGTGGGGAAGTTGAAATGTTCTGCATATCAGGCAGTTGCCTATTAACAAGCACCAATATTTAGTTTGGTGTTTGATTTAATGTGAGGATTGTCTGGGGTGGCCATTGCTGCCAGCTGAGCACAGAAGGATTGTCTGGTGCCCAATTCACGTTTCTCACAGCAGCCCAGGACACTCCCTGCAGTTCCTCTCCCTCCAGACCATKTCCAGGCAGCACTGGCAGGAATGCAGCTCTGGATGAAGGGCAGCCTGGGCAGGGCTTGGAGCAGCCTGGTCCAATGGAAGGAMCTGGAGGGGCTTTCAGGTCCCTTCAACCCAAATCTTCTGTGTTTCTGTGAAGACAACCATCTGGTTTTGCAGGAAAAACAAGGTTAATCTGGAAGGGTAATAACCCACTAGTGTTGCTTTCCTGGAGGTTTYGGGTGGTTATTCTGTTAGCTGAAAATATTGTAAAAGGAAACACCAAATGTTTTGGAATCAGCAGCTTGTCATGGAAATAAAAAGTGCTTATCAATGCACAGAACTGTGTGTGAATCACAGAAACATGGACTCATTTGAGGCTGGAAAAGACCTCCAAAACCATTGATTCCAGCCTGTGACTGATCCTCACCTTGTCCCAGCCCAGAGCCCTGAGTGCCATGCCCAGTCCTCCCTTGGACACTCCAGGGTTGGGGACTCCAAACCTCCCTGGGCAGCTCCTGCCAATCCTGAGCCCCCTTTCCATGGGCAAATTCCTCCTGGTGCCCCCCTGATCCTCCCCAGCCCAGCCTGAGGCCGTTCCCTCTCCTCCTGTCCCTGTTCCTGGGGTCAGATCCCAAATCCCCCCCGGTGTCCCCTCCTGTCAGGAGTTGTGCAGAGCCACAAGGTCCCAAATGATCCCCTTTGCTCCAGGCTGAGCCCCTTCCCAGCTCCCTCAGGATTCTCCAGACCCTTCCCAGCTCTTTCAGTCACTCCTCATACACAGCACTTACTGTCCAGACCCTTCCCATTAATGTCCAGACCCTTCCCCAGCTTCATTGCCCTTCTCTGGACATTCTCTTGGCCCCTCAGATCAGGAGTGTAAAAGGTTCACACCTATTTCACCGATGGGAATGTGTCCCTGCTCTGGTTCCTCCTGAAGCACCTGAATCCCARCTGGCTGTGTCAGAAAGGGAGAGTGGCAGAGCTCCACATTGGTGCATTTTATTCACTGTTTCCAGCCCACACGGGATCACCTTYGTACTTCTGTACCCCAGACACAGCTGCACCTCCCTAAAAAAGGGAATTATCTCCTTGGAGGGGAGTCAGAGCTGCTTGGTCAGCAAAATGCACTTTGGAACACCCAGATGAGAAGAACTGAGGGGCTGTTAAAATGGGAAGGGCCAGGTTTTTTCTTACTCCCACACTTCAGGAGTAACTCAGGGTAAATAGCACTGAGATAAGAGTGAGCAGAAACAGATGTGGAGCACAGCTACCAACAGGATGTGAAAATAAACTCATTACTCCATCTGCCCACCGTAAACAGCATGAAATTAGCAGCGAGTGAGGAATAAAACTCCAGACAAATGGCCTTTTAAGGGGAGCAGAGGGAGCTGGAAAGGCTGCCATTAGAAAAGCAGAGGCACAGAAAGCTCAAGCCAYGCACAGCTCAGTGCATTTCCCAGTTCCCTGGTCAGTCAGGGAGCAGGAAAATCCTGAGGCACAGAGCCTGCAAGGAGCTATTTTGGAAGGCAAAAGCAGAAAGGCCACTTCATCTTTGGGAGAGAAGACCTAATATTGCTCTTGTCCCTGCTGTTAGGAAGCACCATCAATTTTATAAGTCACAGAGATTTATTTTTTCCCTAAGAGGTGCTCTCTTAATGTTGCATAAAATTACTCTCTCAGGGCAGTGTGAGGAGAAAAACGTGGTGTTATGTTGTCTCAGTTGCAAAGACATTGCTAACAATAAAAGCCCCTGAATGATTTGGTTTTTAAGTGACACGATTACAGAGCGGGTCATTCGTGACACTCSAAGTGGCTTCAAGCACCTCTGTCATAAAGTCTGAATGGGGGTGTTTTAWGCTGTAAATATTCACCCCTGGCCTTTGTTCTACAAAGCAAGGCTCAGTCTGAGGATATATTTACTTAAAAATTTGCAGGAAAATTTCTCAAATGGTCAATCTGCTTGATTTATTTRAAGTGAGATCCCAAAATGTTTTACAGCTTTCACAGGCTGATGGTGTTTATAACCATCCTGGGGAGTATCTTTTGCAATTCATGTAGCGGAGAAAGGGAAGGAAGGTCATAATTTCTATTTGAACCTRCTTTTCTAAAGCTGACAGGACACTGACAAAGTCATCTCTTCTAGAATACAACTTGCTGGGCTTTATTCTCCTTCAGAGAGACCCTTTGGAGGAAACCAGAGTAAAATAAGCCAAGTACTTTTTTTCTTCATTGCTATGGATTCTGCTCAGATATCTTCTCTGGATSATTTTATGGATCTCGGTGAAATTACAAATTGCCCAAATGATATTTCAAGGAAACAGATTCCTTGTGTTCTGAGTTCTTCAGTATGTGACAGCCCAAGGCAGAGTTTCCTGCATTTTGGAAATAATTTCTCTCTCCATGTTTGGCAGATCCAAACAAGCCTTGAGTGCTACATAAACCAGGTCTATGAATAAATCAGGGGAAGAAGAACTCAAATTTCAGATGGTGTGAGATTTGAAATACCTGAAAGCTTGATGTCAGCCATGAGTTACTTTGGAACATCTGCAGTTAGATGAAAGGTTTTTCATTTGAGATTCCATKGGGATATTTCAGAAGGAAACCTCCTGGTGGGTTCACCCAAAGTTTGTAATAAACATAATTGAAGTATCTGAACTCCAGCTGCTGTTTTCTACTCTAATCAAGAGCAACAGAGGCAGCTCCTTCTTAGCAAACACACACACTGTGCTGAGGGAAAAGAAATGGATGTGCTGGGCTCGGGTGCTGAACTGAGAGGAGCAGAAATTAAGGATAAGCAGCTGGAAGGCAGRAAAGGGGACTTCATAAAGACATCAGTAGAGTTTTGGAGAAAGCAGAGATTTCATTGAGCCCTCAGAGATGGAGATCAGGGACTTAGAGTTTTCTCATGACAGGATTTTCTAATGTTGCCCAAGCTGAGTGTCACCAGAAGCAGACACTGGAGGGAGTCAAAAAGCAGAAGGTCTTGTCTGTCTTTATCCTTCTGGTTCCTATCCAAAGGGAAGACAMGTTATGTTAGAGACAGAGAGTTCCTCTGGGGGTATTTGAGAAGTCCTCCTTCAAGGTCATGACAGCAGTTTCAGTTTTTATAGCACAGCAGGATYCCAAATCCCCTAAAGCAGGTTTCCTCTTCCTCACTCTCCCAAGCCATGGTGTAATCGTGCCTGACCTATGCCAAATGCCCCAGAGCATCACACCAGCTTGAAGGGTGAGATTCTCCTTGTCCTGACCGTGTCACCTCTCTGCCACCTGAATGCCACACAACGGCATGGCTGAGCATGGCTGAGCTGCCGGCCCTGCCCCTTGCCAGGAGCAGAATGCAGCTTTGGGGTGAGCCTTGGGCTGAGCTCATCCCAGGAGCCAGCCTGGTGTGTCCAGCCTGATTKAGTGAGGAAGAGCACAAACAACATGGGGTCAGTCTGCTCCAGGCGTTGGGCACGGCACCACTGAGCCCTGATGAACCAGGGAATTGCTGTACTTGTAGCAATAACATCTTCCTCCTGTGCTTTGGTCTCTGCTCTAAATAAGGAACAGACCACTTTGTGCTGGGAAAGGAACTTGGGAGGCAATTTCTGAGAGCTTGGAAAAAGCCAAGACARAAACCGTGGGAGTCCTGGGGAGATGGTGGCAGTGCACAAGGGCCAACTCCTGGGACACAYGTGGGCTGAGTCCCTGTCAAAACACCCACACACACCCGTTTATAGCTCCAGGAAAGTGGAGGCACAGTTATATCRTGTTCAAGGAGCAGAGGCCAGGGTCCCCGTAGCACTGGGCTTTTGTCAGCTTTGGAGGGCAGAAATGAGATAGAGAGCTGGGGAAGAAACAGATTGAAAAGATTTTTGTGCTCCAAGAAGGAAAAATCAAGCACCAGGAACTGGTCAAGCTTCTGTCACTTATAATCCTGTGACCAGGCYGATCCTGCCATAGAGCCATGGAACRGTTTGTGTTGGAAGGGACCTCAAAAGTCATCTGTTCCACCCCTSTGCCAYGGGCAGGGACAMCTTCCACTATCCYRGGTCAGAGCTCCATCCCACCCRGCCCAGAACACTTCCAGGAAYGGGGCATCCAAACTCTGGGCAGCSTAGAGGGAGGAGATTGCGGGGCTCGCAGTCCTGTCCCTCCTGGGGCTGCTGTGTGCCACACTCTCCATTTCCTTGCAGAAGGCATGGCAGCAGCCGTGGGCTCSAGCAGGGACTGCCTGCAGGCGGGGGAATCGTGCACCAGTGACCCGGTGTGCAGCGCCAAGTTCCGCACGCTGCGCCAGTGCATCGCGGGCAACGGCGCCAGCAAGCTGGGCCCCGACGCCAAGAGCCAGTGCCGCAGCACCGTCACCGCCCTGCTCTCCAGCCAGCTGCACGGCTGCAAGTGCAAGCGAGGCATGAAGAAAGAGAAGCACTGCCTCAGCGTCTACTGGAGCATCCACCACACCCTGATGGAAGGTCAGTACAGCATTTCTGATCAGCTTCCTGCAGGGGATTCCTTTCTACAGAGGGGCCTTTCTGCAGAGCTCCCCAGCTCGGAACGGGCTGCAGAATACCCCTGTGTTATCCTATTGTGTCTCGAGGCATCCCAACAGCCCCTGAGAGCACAGCACAGCATGGAGCTGGGTCAGAGGGGTTGGCTGGATACAAGAAAAGGTTCCTCTGTCCCCAGAGGGTGCTGGCACTGCCCAGGCTCTCCAGGGAATGGTCCCGGCCCCGAGGCTGCCAGAGCTCACAGCACCCCCAGGCACAGGGTGSCATTATTGGGGTATTCTGTGTAGGGCCAGGGGGTGGACTGGAGGGTCTCTGTGGGTCCCTTCCAACTCAGGAGATTTGATGATTCTGTTGCCATGGCATTGACATTTTGGGGAAAATGGTCCTGAGAACCTGAGATTCCTTTTTTTTTTTTTTTTTTCCTTAACTTAACCTCTCTTTCATGACATTCCCAATACACATTGAGATCTTTTGCTGGAGAAATGCACAGCATATTTTRCATCTAGGTGTGTTAATCAAGACTGTGATCACCACAGATTTTTTAGAAACACTACATAAAGYACAGGCATTGAAGAAAAAACAGCATGGACTTCAAAATATCACTCTCTTGGAATCTCTCAAATGCACCAGTGTCTTTGGTTTAGTGAAGATTTGGAGCTGGTGACATCAAGTTGGAATTTAAAGTGTTCCCAGAGCCAGTATTCAGTAAGTTTGGATTTTGACGTTTTTTAAGAGTCACCATAAAATTGCACCTCAGTGGCCATAACTCTTCCTTGTCAGGCTGGTGAGTATTTTATGCACCATGAAAATTAAAATGGGGAATAAAACAGACCCTTCCAGCCATGGGCTGTGAAATAGATTAATAAAACACTGCTGGCTGGAGCCTGAAAGGAAAAGTGCAGGGGTGAGACCACAGGCCAAAGGCCAAACAAAACAAAGCAGATGGACACTACAGTGGCCAGGCTTGCCAGGATGGACACTGGGTGATCAGCTTCCTGGGAAGCTTTCAGATGCCAAAGCTTTCCGGGTGCAGAGCATGGGGCTGTGAACTGACCGGGGAAATACAAAACCTCTGCAGCCTCCAGGATCGGCCGTTCCCATAATTATGTGATGGATTTGTTTCTGTTGAAGCGAAGCCTGGGGAAGAGGTGGCAATCAGCTTCTCAATTCATCTCAACGGGCACCACCACAGCTCCTTCCCATCCCTGCCCTTCCTGGCTCCAGCTTTGGAAGCAGATCAGCTGTGACATGGCTGGGCAGGGCAGTGCTGGAGTGAGGATTTCCACCTCTGGTGTGTGTTGGAAGAGACCTTGTAGACTATGCAGTTCCAAGCCCCTGGCATGGACAAGGACACCCTCCACTGGAAGGAAGAGGAGACAGAGGCTGCCAAGGAGTGCTGGAAGCAGGAKGGGCCAGCTGTGGGTGTCCAGATGCAGAACTGGAGTTTGGTGCTGGAGGGACTCCTGGCCCAGAGGGAATTCCACCTTGGGAATGACRGGAGAGGGCTGTTCTTGGGGGCTGACACCAACTCTGCTCCATGTCCTCTGCTCCATTCTCTGCTGTCATGTCCTGAGCCCCACACCTTTGCAAACAACTCACTTCACTTGCAATGCAGATTCGCACACCAAACTTCTATTTCCTTGCCTTAATTTCCCCAGGGAGATATATTTCATAGCAGTCACATGTTTCAGTGTCCTTACACGTTTAATTGACTGAGAAAGGAAGCCAATCCACACCGTCCATGTAGAGCTCTGTTTCTCAATCACACAYACCCAGGAGGCTGCAAAAAGCTTCCTAGAAGCCCTCTTGTGAAAACAATTGTGGAAGTGTGTGCTCAGGGAATTTACAAAGCACGCTATTTACTCAGCTTCTCTTGAGCATGCAGCATTTAGCCACCTTCCCATTTAGAGACACAATAACACGATGACAACCCGATAACAATTCTCTGATAAGGTGCTTTATCATCAGGACATGAAACTGCTGCGCTGGAACACACAAATGGGCCCCTCTCCAGTCAGTAACGATGCACGATATTTCAATGAAGGTGTAAAGCTGCCTTGTAATGCATCTGTGGTAATTGCACAGGGCTGTGAACCCGGGGAACCATTTCTTCCTGCCCACAGCTGGAGGTCAGCACTGCCCAGAGCATGAGGTGGATAGCCCTTTTATCCCAGACAGTAYATCTGCTGCTGCTGTCCACATCCATCTAAATGTCCAATAAAAACCCCAACAGATCCTGAGCTGTTTGCTTCAACAATATTCCATGGTATCCATCAGGATGACGGGGCATTACAGACCATTGCACAGATGAAAGGGAAKCACCGATTGAATAAAATCAGCTTCCTAGAGACTTAAAACAGAAGAGAGGAAGTTTCTGCGGGAGCTGTGGGTCTTTAGCTCTATGCTAAATAAGAGAAGGCTGTTGGCAAGGAGAAAGGGAGATGTGACAGTGAATATGGGGTGTGCTGTCAAACACATAATCCTGTGCACAGCCCTGTCTGTGTCCTAAACAGACGTGAAGACTTTTGACCTAGGGAGGGACACTGAGGAAAGAGCAATAATGGTGATGGAAACCCCAGGTGTGTAGGGAGCTGTAGTTTGAACCCTGCCCATGAGCAAGAGCCTGTGCTGCAGCCTGGTATCCACTGTAAAAATCCCTGTGGAGTGTCCCAAGGCTTGAATTACAGAGGGCTGCAACTCAGCAGGTCCCTGACAGACTGCTCCCCTCCAAAACTGAGGTGTATTTTTAAAAGCTGCTTACATTCTGGTCCCTTCTCCAAGGATGTATCCACTCCTCTGTTCCCACGACTCGGAGTATCCATTTGCTCRTGGCCTTTAGAGCACAGTCCCCGTGCACCCACCACGCAATCTTCCACTGCAGATGCTGAACCTCGTGCATCTCAGCCATCCCTCAGGAGCCTCATCTGCATTCTCAGCAATTCCTCTCTTTCCAGGCATGAATGTCATGGAGAGCTCCCCGTACGAGCCGTTGGTCAGGGGCTTTGATTWCGTCCGGCTGGCGTCCATCACTGCAGGTAGGGCTTGGGAGAGGCTCTGACACCCTCTGGTTCAAATGGGGGGATGTGGCTGTGGGACCAAGCACTGCAGACTGGGAAATCCTTTGTGCTCCCTTGGGAGCGTTGCATGGTTCAGCTTCAGCAATTGTTTTTCCGAGGAGTTGCCTCTGATTCCTGTGCTAAACTGTTACAGGTTCTGGGAAAAACCACTGGTGATTTTTGTCTTTGGGCTGTTTCGTGTCCGTATGAAGGACTGGGACTCAAAGATGTGGTACAATGACCCATCCCAGGCAGGCTCCTTCTCCACAGCAGTGGATGATCTGTTCCACACAAACACCTCACCACACRCTGCTTGGGTATCGTTAGCTTTGAGAAGGGCTTCCACATCGGTCACAGGATCAAATGCTGCAGGAAAAAAGGTCAACAGCTCAACCTGTGTGCTGATCCCAGCCACAGCCTTTAACCACCCACCTCAGGGCAACTTCAGGACCCYGAGCCATGTTCTGCTCTGCATTGTAATCCTATGAACAGCTGAGCAGAGCTGTCTGACACCTTTTAACTCCTCAAGGGCTCAGCAGTTCAAAGTGCCCACCAATAACCCGTTCACCACAAATGGCACAGCAGCCACCTCAGCCAGGCTGTGCATCACTGCCTTGGCAAAGCTTTTCCTAGACTGGATTTTTTACCAAACTATGTGTCTGGAGCAGGAAATGTGCTCCTCCTGTGTCCTGGCAGATGTGCTGCCCTGCTGCAGCTTTTCCAGATGTGCACCTTGCTCTGGGTGTCATCGAGGAAGGAGCAGTGTGTCCCTGCAGCTGGTGAATGTCTGCAGTCCCCACCATGGGCAGGCACCTGCTGGGTGAAAATGTCCCAGAGCAAATCAGCCCTGGATAATTGGAGTAGAGGGGATAAGACCCTGCTCTCACTGACTCCACCTGGCAGACTGGAATGTGGACAGGGCACTTTGTTTGCTGAGTCGTGGTTTTCTTTACTGGAGTTTTTCCCTTCTGCTGAGTCTAGAAAGCTTCAGAGCATGGGGAAATCAAGGGATGGGGATTTTTATGCATGGTTAACACACTCATGTTTTTAAAGCAGATTGGAATAGGTTGTGCAGCAAAGCAAATGGGCCCAGAGCAGCAGGGAATCTTCAGRGGACCTGACATTCACTTAGGGAAATGCAATTTCTTAACCTTTTTGTCCTTATTTATGCCAATCAAAATCTTCTGTAATATAACTTACAACCTGCTGCCCACTGCCTACCAGCATYCAGGCTCATATGTGCCAAAGGAGCCTCTTTCAAATTTACCAAAAAGAATTCCCAAGAACTTATTGAAACATAAGACMCCCCTGTGACCATAGGCCAAGTGAAGAAACAGGTTGATTAAACCAAATTTTAYATAAACAATATATGGCCACTGTTAAAACTGTACAAATGGAACCATATCCCTCCACTCTATTGTAGCAGCGATTAAAAAAGCACATCCACTGGTGTTACATCAGCAGAGGAGAAAATCCAGCATGTGCCCTGTGATTTATGAGCTGAATGGGTAATGAAACCCTTCCAATAACTGTTTCCTACATGTCAGCTGGCAGTTCCCCAGCATAAACCAGTGCTCTGACAATATTCATCCCTGGGCAGTTTTAAAGGGAAGTATTTAGTGATGGGAACGCACCAGGCAAAACTTTCATCCATCACAAAATAACTGAAAAACTTGGAATTTGACTTACAGTTCCCTGTAAGCAGCAGGGACAACAGAAAGGGAAAAATAAATGCTGGGAGAAGGAGCATCAGATAATGTCAGGGAAATAAAGAGGGCAGGCAGCTCTGAAGTGCTCAGGGAGATGGACAATGTTTTAACACTTGTCAGCAGTGACTGGCTGGTTTTAACTCCTGGTCAAAGATACGGCTTGATTCTGCACTGAGAATTTATCATTCTGGAGATCTTTCCTCAGTGGAAAAAATCTTTCTCTGCTGGGGAGAAAGTCCTTCTGGTGTGCTACAGGTCATGATTTTAATTCAGAGAGGTGAAAATGAGCTTGGAATTCATTTTCTCTCAAGCTTGAAGGACCCTTGCCTCATCTGTTTGACCAGAATCTGGTGTTTCCACTGACTCCTGCCAGGGACTCTGTAGCATTTTTCCCCTCTATAAAACAGACCCCATCCACCTTTGAAGGGGCCCTACAGCCAGTGTTAGACAGATGCCTTTCTCTCTTTCCTTTTTCCCACATTCACAGAGAAGGCTGCTGGCATATAAACCCATGAGATCCCTGTTTCCCGCTGAAGATGCTGTTTTTCTCATCCATCACCAGAGTTTTTGCTCTGTTTTCCTGACCTTTCCCCTTGCTGCAGGTTTCCTCCACCTTCCCCCACCCCACACCTCTGCTCTCCCACCCAGACTGGGACACTCTTTCTCCTCTCGTTTTAGAGGGTGGAAATGCAGAGTGGTTTTGCTGGAGTCAGAGAAGGGTGACCCTGTAAAGGGTGTGGGGAGAGACCCAGACCCCTCACATCCAGGCAGTGTCAGGATCCAGGGGATTGCAGCTGGAAGGTGCCCTGATGGCAGCTGTCACTGCTCTGGATGTGGGGACACGGGGAGGGGACACTGGGTCAGGCTGCTCTGGACGTGGGGACACTGGGGACATTGGGACAGACTGCTCTGGATGTGGGGACACTGGGGACACTGGAACAGACTGCTCTGGACGTGGGGACACTGGGGACACTGGGTCAGACTGCTCTGGACGTGGGGACACTGGGTGGGGACACTGGGTCAGACTGCTCTGGACGTGGGGACACTGGGGACACTGGGTCAGACTGCTCTGGACGGGGGGACACTGGGGACACTGGGGACACTGGGGACACTGGGGACACTGGGTCAGGCTGCTCTGGATGTGGGGACACTGGGGACACTGGGACAGACTGCTCTGGACATGGGGACACTGGGGACACTGGGACAGACTGCTCTGGACAGGGCACCGTGCAGCCAGACCGGTCTGGCTTAGCTGGGCAGACCCCGGTGTGAGCAAAGCCGAGCTGCTGCCATGGCCCTGCAGAGGCCTGGAAAGCTCAGTGCCCAGTCTGAGGTGTCAGGAATTAGGGCAGAACACCTGTGCATCACAGACACAGCTTTGCCACTGACCCAGCCTTTGATCATGAGCAACTCGTGCAAACATAAGTTCCGTTTGTGGTGATCCCAGCACTTGAATGGATCCACTCATGGCCATATGTAGATGCACTTTCTAATGCAGTCTGTCTTCCAGGCCTCACACCACTTMATTTGAATTTGTAAAATGTTACCAGATGCCCAGATTAAAGCAAAAATAATTTTATTAAATCTATGAGCTGGGTGAAGTGAGCTTTGGAGGCGAAGTCTGGTGTGTGACTGAGGCACATCTCAGGAAGAGATGAGTGTGGAAAGGGGATTTGGGGCTGCCAGGACACAGAGGGCAGGTGTCCCCTTCCCGGGGCAGCTTTGGTGTCACCGAGGGCCCGGGATGGAGCGGGGTGGGGACGGGGGGCTCGGGCGGTGCTGCTGCGGGGCTCAGCACAAACCCCTGAAACGCTCCCGTCCCGCAGGGGCAGAGAACGAGGTGACGCAGGTGAACCGCTGCCTGGACGCCGCCAAGGCCTGCAACGTGGACGAGATGTGCCAGCGGCTGCGCACCGAGTACGTGTCGCTGTGCATCCGGCGCCTGGCCCGCGCCGACGCCTGCAGCCGCTCCAAGTGCCACAAGGCCCTGCGCAGGTTCTTCGACCGCGTGCCCCCCGAGTTCACCCACGAGCTGCTCTTCTGCCCCTGCCACGACACSGCCTGCGCCGAGCGCCGCCGCCAGACCATCGTCCCCGCCTGCTCCTACGAGTCCAAGGACAAACCCAACTGCCTGGCCCCTCTGGACTCCTGCCGCGAAAACTACGTCTGCAGGTAACGTTCCACACCGGGGTGGACATGGGGGCTGTCCCCTGGGCAAAGGGTCATCCACGGTGACCAGAGCCAGTGTGGTGACCTGTGGGGTCACACCATAACCCCTGACAGGCCACTGCCTTGTCCTTGTATCCTACAGAACAGTGCATGGACAGGAGGAGATGTGAGTGAGGGGTTCATGCTGCATTTACACATTTTTAATGGATTTTTGGCTTTGATCCTAGAGATGAAAACAGTTCCAGGAAGGTGCAGCCTAAGCAGGGGGGAGGGTTCCTTACAGCCACATTCACCAATCCACCTCCCTTGCTGTCCCTCTTCCCCAGCCCAGAGCATCCTCCAGGAGCACCAAAGGTATCCTGACAGCCATAGGCACTTGCAAAGGCATTAAAACCATGTTTGTTTGTTTGTTTGTTCAATTAGAAAAAAAAATAAATAAAAAATACACCCTTCTGCTGCAAGGCTGAGTGTTGGAGAGACCTTGTAGCATCCTCTAATACCTAACAGGAACCTATAAGAGAGCAGGAGAGGGATGTGGGGCAAGGGCAAGAAGTGACAGGACCAAGGGGAATGGCTTGGAACTGAAGGAGGGTAGATTTAGATGGGATTTGGGAAGGAATTGCTGTCTGTGAGGGGGTGAGGGTAGCCAGAGAAGGTAGGGCACAGGGTAGCCAGAGAAGCTGTGGCTGCTCCATCCCTGGAAATGTCCAAAGGGGGATTGGACGGGGCCTGGAGCAGCCTGGGATAGTGGAAGGTGTCCCTGCCCATTGCAGAGGGTGGGATGAGATGATTTGTTGGTCTCTTCCAACCCAAACTATTCTGTGGTTCTATGATTCAGTGATTCCATGTTTTGGTGATTGTAACAGGAGTTTTAGAGTCCCAGTGTCACTCCAGATCCACTGCACAGCCTGTGGCCAGCCTGGTTTGCTCCTGTTTCCATCCAGCCCCAATCCCACACCCACAGACCCATCCCATGTGCACACTCACAACAAAACCCCTGCAGCTCTTTTCCTTCATCTGTACTATTGTCACCCCCCTGTTTGTCAAAGAGTCTTTGATATTCCCAAAGGTTAATCCACACAGAGCTCTTGGGAGCAGAGCCCCCCTGGCAGTGAGAGATGTAAGACCATAATAGCACCATGGGGTCCCAGCCCCGTGCCCTGGGTGCTGCTGGGGCCATGAGAAGACACCTGGGGAAGGGCACAAGGACAAGTGTAGGACACACCTGCCTGTATTGTCCCAGTCCCTAATTGTTGTGGGGTTTGGGACTTCCTGAGCTGAACTTTCAGCAGCCATCCCCYACCAGCACATCATCTTTTAATTACAATAAAAATATGATGTATTTTCACAAAGGGAGGTGAGAGCAGCAGCATCCTCTTAGAAACACAGAAGTACAAATACCCTCAACACTGCACCCCAGAAACACAGAGGCAGGAGAATGACTGAGCTATGCAGAAGTGGAGCTGAGAGATGCAGAGTCCCTGGGCTGACCAGGCCCTGCTCAGATGTCATCCCAGGCTWCCCAGAGAATCTGAAATGAGTGGGTACTGCCCTCTCCCCAACAAGAGAAAAGGGCCAAGTGGGGAGGAAGAGGTTCAAAGGGGAGAGCGTTGCTCCACAGGAGACTGGAAACCATTTCCTGCAAGCAACACAGCTGTTAATTATCTGGTCCCTTGGTCTCTGAATATATTATACAAAACATCCTCTAGAGACTCAGAGGGGGCAAGAGGTTGGCATGTGACCTGGTCAAAGCCAGCAGTGCAGAATCCACAAGGAGAGCCATGAATAAATCAMAAAGAAATGGAGTGAAACACTCCAGGGCTCACCCTGCCTGCACTGCAGCTCCTGCACTGCTCTGACCCTTCCAGTTTCCCCGTTCAGAGAGGGGGGTTCTACTAACATGGATTCCATCAAATCTGCAATCAGAATCTCCCTTCTTTAAATCTGCTCTACGCAATGCAGCCAGTTTTGGAAAAGAAGATTTTGTCTGCCCGTGTTACAGAAGAAAAGGATTGATATGGGGCAAATATGGGAACAAAGATAAGAAAGAAGACAGAGGAGTAGAGGAGAAGTGGGCTGGAAAGCGCAAATTGGAGTGCTAACACTGACCAGGAGCAAGAGCAATGTGTCTGCAAAGGAGAGGATGTCTGAGAGAAGAAACATGCTCAGTTTTTGTGAGATTACCCAGGCAGGCAATTGGAGGTTCTCAGTTTGCAGCTCAGACACTGAAGACTGTCACGTATAGAACCTTCCCTTCAAATGYTGTCAGTGATATCACTTGCCTGAGTTTCCTGAGCAGCTGAAACTCCATGTGAAATCCCCTCCTGCCTGGCCACAGAATGAATGTTGAGGTGGATCTGGATCTGCAGCTGTCGCTGTGTCCTACCTGAAAGCCCRGTGTTGATATCTCAGTTATCCTGCAATCTCCAAACAGCACCGTGTGCCGAGAGCTGACTCGTCCCTAAAGAATTCTGTGGAAAGATCGGGATGGCAGAATGATTTGCCAGGCTCAGGGAGTCCCTCTCCAGAGAATGGTCATCTGCAGCAGAGGATGGGGCAGCAGCCCTGGTAATGGGTAAACATTTCAACCTTTGGGTATTTCCCTTGATCTGAGATGACCTCTGCTATATTAAAAGCCTTTAAAGAGAGAGAAAATGGACCAGAGCCATTCTCTGTTTCAACAAATCACACCAAAAAATGAAAGTTGGGGTTTTTAGGCAAAGTYATTACCCCAAAGGTAGAAAATGGCTACACAGAGTGATTTCCTTCCCTGCAACTGCTCTTCCCTCAAAAACCAACCCCACAAAACGGTAAACAAACATTTCTTCCAAGACTAGACCTTTCTTGCCGTCCTGAAGGAAACCTGTAAAACATTACCCGCAGAGCCTGTTCAGAACTTCCTCCTGGATTTGTTGGGGTGGGCAGGAGATTGTAAAAGGGAGATTGTTCAAGCTCTTTGAGCAACACCTACAGCAGCACTTTGCAAATGCATTCCCTTCTGTAAACACCTCAAGTGTGCTGCTGCATCCCCGTTTGCCCCAGTTAGCTGTGCTAATTGTCCCGTTTTGTGCTGTGGCTCCATCAGGTCACGCTACGCAGAGTTCCAGTTCAACTGCCAGCCATCGGCGCAGGCTGCCAGCGGCTGCCGCAGGGACAGCTACACCGCCTGTCTGCTGGCCTACACCGGCATCATCGGTAAGAGCTGCCT